TGGCAGAAGATGTAGAACCTGCACTCATGGTGCTTTCCCTGCCTCCATCACAATCCACTATATACTGATTCAATTACTGCACAAAAAGCCTTTTTCTTATAGCACACCCTCCTTTTCACTTCTGTCTCACTCTGGATTGGAGAAAAAAAAAATCTTGCGGATGGAATGTTTACTGCTTTTCAAATATTTCGTGCGAAAATGCCATTTACACCCACAGCCATTGCTGCCTTCTCTTTCTSCCTTCTTTTACAAGACAAGGAGCAGGGGAGGACAGAGAGAGAAAACAAATGGAAGAATTTTCCAAGACATTGAAGTTAGAATGTCATTGTGTTATATTTTTTTATAATTAGGCTCATATGCCAGATAACAGATTCTGATTTTTTCCTGATAATTTACAAAATAATYAAAACCTTGAATCTTGCAGGGAATGCACAGAGGTATGGAAATGTCACAAACTCAGGAACYCAGGTAAAGTTCTTCAGAAGCATGACTATGTTTGCACTTTTTTTAAAAAAGRAACACAGTGACTTGGTTTGATGAAAAGTTGGAAAGTATGTGGCAATATTTTCCTTSCAAACAATACTCTTGTGTAACTTTTATAAGCTTTTTCAGTTAACATGTAAAACAAATAAACAACTCCAAAAAAAACCAAAAAACCCAACCTAGCGCCATATTGGAAACCTTGCATCTTAAACATCTGTTTCTCTATTCACTTTCCAGTTACACTCAGACCAGCAACTAAAAAAAGCCTGTCTGCCCCTTTCCCCAGCTACTTCTTTAGCTGGAAATAGCATAAAACCCAAATATCCTGGGAAGGCAGACATGATGGAAAGCACTTAGGATAGTTTTAAAGCAAATAAATTGAAAAAAATGTTTACAGGGCTCATCTGTTTTCTCTCACACGAGCCATCAGTAACCATAATTTCTGCCTTCAGAGCACAGAATTGTTTTCCCAATGAATATATTTATAAACAAAGAAATAATTGGACAATGTGTTTGAAGAGAAAGGAGCTCTTCCTAGACACATATATTAAATGGACAGACAGGCAAAGAAAGCCTGTGTTACTTGATAGATAAAGTTTAAAAATAAGCAACTTTTAATTGAACATGTATTTTAATTGAACATATAATGTTTATTTAATTCTTTAGGAAGGCTGAAGAAAKAAGTTCTTAAGTCTAAAGTTTTCATCTCCCTTATAAACATTATCATCTCCATATAACTATTGCACTAAGGTACAAAAAATAAACTTGAGGTCTCCAGAAAGTGTTTCAAGAAAACCCAGCCAGAGTTTTGGATCCCACTGAATCAGTGCTGGTTGGGAATGTACACACTTTTCTGGATATCATTGTCTCTACCATTCAAAGCCTGTTAGTCACGGAACACACTGCTGTTATCAGAAGGAACAGATGGCCACACACCAGCTCTGTGTGTCAGGACCTGCTGGCACATCCTGTGGGTCACCCTGCCCAGGACCTGCTGGCACATCCTGTGGGTCACCCTGCCCAGGACCTGCTGGCACATCCTGTGGGTCACCCTGCCCAGGACCTGCTGGCACATCCTGTGGGTCACCCTGCCCAGGACCTGCTGGCASWTCCTGTGGGTCACCCTGCCCAGGACCTGCYGGCACATCCTGTGAGTCACCCTGCCCACCGTGGTTACCGTGTGTGCACAATGCCCGGATGGGAAGGAGGACTGGAGGGGAGCTGGGGACTGAGGCTACAGCAACCAGCTGCAAGAACTCTTCATGCTTGCCTGTGCTCCTGTGCAAAATACCTTACAAACACTTTTCTGCAAAATACCCTTACTACTTTGCTTAACTGTGCTTGCTGAAACAAATTTTTTTCCAAGCGGAAATATATTTTTTCATTGGTAGGATTTAAATGAGCAGTTACTTAAGTTTTGTAACATTTTTAAACATTCTCCTTTGCTTGGTGGAGCTAAAACAGGTTTGGGGAAACATACACTAGGAGCTATTTTAGGCTTTACAAAGGAAGCTCCAAAGATTGAAACACGCTGTTCTATGCCAGATAAAAATTTGAGTAAGCTTAAATTTAGATGTTTGTTTCTGAGGCAACTATAAATGTCCCACAGCACTTACATATTAACTATCACATTCAACCAGCAGAAAGAATCAGAAAGCCTGAGTTTACCTGTAAGAATAAAAATTATATCTCTAAATGACATTATAACAACATTACCACACAGCATTTTTACTTCAAAATGCAAATATGTCATAAATCTCTAGCAAAGGATAGTCCCATAGTTATCTGATGGCCAAAGAGTGCTGAACTTCCAGTATTGTCTTTGGAAAACAATCCTGAGCTACAAACAGGCTCTTGAAGACATCTGTGGAGGAAGGGAGTGGGAAAGAAGCAATAATCACACAAAATGCACCAAGGTTTTGTACCAAATAAAAATCAACCCCCAAAAAGACCTCAGTACAAGAATACAGGGAGATGTGGTGAAACTGCTTCATTGTTTGCAAGTGGCAAAGCCCAGGTGCAGAMAATCAGCATTTTCCCACTGCGAGACTGAATTAATTCTGCAGCAACCCAGGACAGAAAAAACCTACACTTTGTCTCAAAAATGGCAGGAAAAGGAACRTCRYCTGAARTAYGACACTTTTTTTTGTGGTTTGGRGTTTTTTGATCCAAATATACAGGGAATAAAATGTATTGTGTGTAGACATCTCTGAAATGCAAGAGGAAGGAACCTGAAGTGTACGATGTTAATATCTGGAAGAAAGTGTAAGAAATATTCAGAGAAGTAGATTTAAAGTAGTGTCTTTAAAATCCTACTAAACACTATGATATGCAGCCCTCCCTCTATTKTTAAACTACCACAGAATCCTCAAAATCCTTAACTGAAGAATCTGTTAGGACTTGATTTTTAAAAACCCATCTGCAGGAAAAAGAAGTTTACTACAAGATAGCATTCTATATAAAGGAACCTCAAGACAGATACTTTTATCTACTGTTCATCCTTAACCAATACACCAATCACATATGATAACAGTTGGCAGGACATCTTCAARGGAAAAGTAATCCAAGGTCAGTTCATGAAAGGAAGCTTTTACAGGATGACAGTGGTACTCTGAACCTCCTTTGGCTGCTGATAACATCRTTGCTGTCAGCTCAGCACTGAAGCAATGATTCCAAACATGGAAGTAGCACAATAAATTCGTTCATACAGTCTAAGAGGCAGAAAAATGCCCAAAAGCATGGTAAGATTGCAGTATTCCAGCAGCCTCTTCTCAAGGACATTTGAAGCCCATTAATCACAAAGACAGGCAAAAAGCCCAAGAAATTCACTCATTACTCCAGACTTTTCAAAACACCAGTCCATCTTTTAACTTAACTCATGAAAGTTGTCTGTCTAAGGCTCAGTAACCCAACAGTTACACAGACAGCCAGGATGTCCTTTCTGTGAGCATCAGGCACACGGAAAAAAACTACTGCCCATTCCTTAATTTTCTGWGGCCCAGGAGTTCATGCTTCCCCCTCACTGTTTTTATCAGATAAAACTCTATTGCATGRTAACACAAAGCTCCCCACAGTGTCTGAAATACCTCCTCAACCCCAGCAAGGAAGCTGCACTGTTTATATTACATTTTACATTCTTTTCCAGTCTCGCTTGTATTTAATAACAAGAACAAAAATCTACGGTTTGTAGCCAATATTTATATTTTCCATTTGGCAGTTCTGATAATTTTTCTTACTGACTAGAGCTAAAATTGTCTCAGCAGGATGGATTTATCAGCATTTCATCTGCTAAACCATTCCAGCTAGAAAGCCAACTATATCGCCAACAGTTTTAGAAGCAAGYTTCTACTTACTTTATGTGAGAAACTCACAAAGAACACAAATTCAAAACGAACAGTAAAATATAAGAGGGGCTGGGGGGGGGGGGAACCCAAATAGTTCAGCATTTAAAGGTTTGTTATTTTTAACCCCTAAAATGAAAGTTTATTGAGTGCCAAGTACTTTAAAAATACTATTTCCTTTTTTAACAGTGATACACCTCCCAAGTTTCCAAAGCATCTTCCACACTACTGTACCCGAAAGAACATGAAGCACAGTCAAGAATTTCATCTACAGTTCTGGTAATTAACAAATGTGACAGTTTTTCAAGTATTGACTCCCAAAAGTAAAACAGTCCTGTGCTCMTCACTACCAGAAATACAAATTTTACAGGACTAACTTGGTCTTAAATGGTAATTTCTCTGAAAAACAAAACAATTATACGAATCAAAATTTCAGGAACAGTTGTACTGACAACAGACCAAAATAAAATTATACAATGCTGAAGATAAAACSGCAATAAAAATTCATTTTAATGCCAAAATATGTGATTGCATAAATGTATAATGAAATATTTGGATGCCTTTGCTGTGTACAGTGTTTATTTGTAGATTTATTAATTCCTTGTTTATTAACAGTTGTAATAACATGYTATTTTAATACCAAATCCTTCAATCTTCTCTTTTAATCAAATCAACCAAACCTTGGCTCTCAAGATAGAAGTCTCCATTACTTACAAGAGATTTCTGATGCTTTATCAAAGAAAATAACTGTGAATAATATAGTATAAGTAAAATTTTTTACTGTTAAAGATGTGATTACTTCACTGTGGATTCTCTCAGAAGAATCACCTGAAAACYCTTAGCTCTGAAAGAAAGTTTCTCCCTCTAGGTCCTGACACCTGCTCCTGAAAAAACTCTCATTTCCAAGGTAGAGTCCTCAGACTGTCACCATTGTGATCACAACCAAATTAAATATACCTAATGAAAACATGTATCAGTCGACAAACAAGGATATGGCATTCCTACTGCACCTACTTGAGACAAAAGGACTGTGTTATTACAAACAAAATAAGAAAAAGACAGRGGCAGAATAGAAAAAGAGATCTCAAGTATCCTACATCTCAGTACCCTCCTGAAGGTGTGATTATGAAGGACAAAATGGGATGGGAACATGGACATGAAGAAAGGCACACTCACCATTTCCTGAGAGGCATACTTTGGATCTTCGGGATCAACTGACCAGTAGCAATAGTCAAAGCTGAARGCCACAGTTTTTTCTCTGGAGTCCCAAATGCTGTCAAGCCTACTGTCAACCTGACAAAAACAGAAAAAAGACAGAAAGACCAAGTCACTCTGAAGCTGACCAAAAAAAAAAAGCATTTGCAAATATGAAAGGAGAAGAGATACAGGGAAAGAAAGTATCCAGATGTTAGTAACAGTAAAATATACAAAAATCCTAAACAATTTACTAAAGGTTTTGAATGATGGCATGCAACAGGATTGCAGAAGCTTTGACAAAAATATAAAGACAACTTCCTGCTATGTCCCTTCTCACCCCTCCAAAACCCATGAACTAACCCCAAACCAAAACAATCTTTCCCCACAATTTTGCTGCAGTAATTCTATGGCTGTGCCAGTTTAAACTTCTCCTTTAATATTTTCATTAGAATGATCCAACATCCAAACAGAGAAAARTATCAGGATCCTTATATGGGAAAGGGAAAACAAAACAAAGCATACCTTTATATTTCTGACTTTTGCCACTTTGTCATCAACTTCTACAATCACTCTTCCRCCTTCTGCTCTCTCTCTGGAAACAGAACACATTTAAAAATCCATTTAAAATATTAAGAAAMAGAAARGTACATGTCAAATTTCTAAACTTCAGAAATTTATGTTTACTTTAGCAAACTGGAAATCAGAGCTATAATACAGATACCAGAATACAGATACTTCTGCTTATAGGACTCTGTGACATTAAATAGCCTTTGCAAGATCTGCATTCTGGTACCTCAGGGGCAAGGGGTTAAAAAARCCCCAAGACTGTGGTGATTAAAGAGTTTCAAAGTGTTTTTCCTAAATAATTTGTCAGGATTTTATTTATATTTAAAAGGTGTTGCTTTAAATTAATTTTACACAGAAGTAATTGTGGCACACTGATGGACTGGCTGTACTTTGTGGTGTAGGGATCCATATCGCAGACTTGTGAGCCACAAGAGTTGTCAGATCACACCATCTGATTTTCACATTTAACCCAAATGGTCCTCAAAAAAGTACTCTTTAGGGGGGAAGAAAAGAGCGCCAAACAAACAACAAACAAAAAAAAACCTCCTGAAATGTAAATGGGCAGGATTGTCCCTCAAGTGCAAAGGACCATGCTCTCATATATACCATCCAAAGTTCTCATTGGAAGTAGCTGTGACTGGCTACTGAAGAGTACATCCCAATCCACAATCATATTAGAAAAGAATTAAAAAGGATGTGGATGAAGCAAAAAAACCCCAACAAAACAAAACCAAAAAAACCCCTCCAAAAACAACAACAAAAACGCCAACAAAAAAACCCCTCCAAATAAACCACCCAAACCAAATTCACTTTATTTCTGAACTGACAGCATGATAGCTACCTGAAGATAAGGATTCTCTTATTCATCCCTCTCAATAATTATCATGAATGTTTTTACACATACTAGGATAGAACTGAGGAAGAAGAGATCAATGTCCTATTTCTCCAACTTCAGTATAGAGAAACTAAGAACAAGGCAAAGACACTTTATATTTCTTCTACATTTTGCTTTGAGCTCTGATACTGACAAATCCTGTAAAATGCAACTTTCTGGTAGTTTTGATGAAGACTAATGCTTTTGTAAGAAATTGATTTAGAAATAAAAACAATTTTGTCACACTTAAAAAATAAGGTGAAGATGCACTGTCATTTGATATCAGATGTTTGTATCTCCTGATAATCAACTGTATCAGTATCATGAGGTCAATTAAAAACTAGGTAAGATACAACAAGACTTAGAAAACTCAAACCCAGCCGAGAACTGCTCATTTATGGTCCTAGGTCTTTAACAGATTCCTTCACATGCCTGCAGAACTATTTAGTCCCCCACTGATTACAATCTGCTTCACTGATGGCTCTWATTTCCAGGTGGCACAAAGCACAACATGCCCTGCCTTTGGGGTCTCTCCTGTTCTGTTTTTGCCCCATGCTTTCTGTACCAAAACAACACTCAAAACCATGCCTTAGGACACTTTATGCTTTCACAAAGACAATCACCGCAGCATTTGAGCTTTCCAAGCATAAAGAGATTTTAAGCACATTACTGAGCATAGCTGTTCCCATTCTGCAAATAGAAATAATCCTTTACCTAAAGCCTCTTGCTTCACAATACTGATTTTTGAGGCASCCTCGAGACAGATTGAACTTGGTATTTCCTGTAGTATGTATTCATACATGACACTTCACACACAAAATATAAGCRCAGCTCCCAGAGATTTTAGTTAAGCTGTGATTGTTCAGCTGTTCAACACATCAGTCACCCAAGCCCCAAGTCAGCTCCCAAGAGAAATGGAAACACAGAACGTACAGCTGGGCACCAAATGTTGCATTATGTGCAGCTGAGTACTGAACAGAGGCTCCCTAAAGAACAAACGAACAAGGAACAATGTCTAAGGACACAGGCWGCGAGTACCTAAGGTAGAAATGTGCAGCTGATGCATTTAACCTGTACCTGTGTCACTTCGTAGGGTTTTTGACAAGAAAATGTTTTCCAGTGGAAGTTACTTAGGGGACTTTCATAGCCATGGACAAATCTCTGCTAAGTGAGCTAATGAAAAAGCTGACAATTACCCTGTACAGCAGATCTGATTTAAGAGGAAATGGGACATTTTGACAGAACTTCACAACATTTTAAGAACATCAGAAGACAGGCAAAACCAAAGGGATCCTTTAGGAAAGAGCTTGCGTCACTTAGACATTCTCTTTCCTTCACTGCCCAAGTATGATCTTGGACCTATCCCACTTCCCAACCCCATGAGSATCCTTAACCCTCCAGTCTTACCAGCCTAAATAGTCCACTGAGTTCCTATCCTCCTCCTCCAATGTCCACACGTCATTCCCTATGGACATCTGCTGTGTGCTCTCACTGACATCATGTCCATCTTGCCCAGGGCCCTCTTCAACAGCTCTSCACATCTCATGTCCCTCCTGCTGCATTGTAGCTAGTCCCAGGCTGATGTCTCTGCTCCAAAGATTCATAATCCTGCTCTTTTTGTCAGTTCTTCCAGTGTCTAACCCAAGTTTACTTGTACCCTCCACAACTAAACCAGTGTTTCTTCCTGGGCGCCTGCTGAGGTCAGCAAACAGCTTATTATGTTATTATCGAGAATAAATCAGAGAGAAGACCGTGTTCTCAGGTCCATTCCTGGGCTTCAATCGTGACTTGGAAAACACTGAGCTCAACTTACTAAAGCAATTCTCAGATAATGAGTTTTTTTTTACTTAAGGGGATGATGCAAACATGATTTGGTCAACACTAGAGCATACAAGCTGAGAGAAAACAGATCCCTTAAAATTTTTACCTGCTGTGTTATCACAAGTCTTCACCAAGCATGTTAAAGAGTTTTAGTTGTTTAGAACTTGGGCAGAAATGGGTAGATTCAGATGGGAATTAAATCAGATTTCAGATTTTAAAATCAATCGAGGAATTCAAATAAAAAGTCCCCCTAAGTAGCTTATATATAATTTAAACCATAATTTCCCCACRACCTTATCTCCTCTAGCAGCTGAACTGTTCCGGGTGAAGCTTAAAAATAATGTTAAGAAACCTAATCAGAAACAGGCATTCATGAATAGAACATTTGTACTCAAATGGTCGAAATCTGGAAAAGCTTTTAATCATTTTAAATGCCAGGGTATTCTAATTACAGAAGTAAGGCAACCTCAACAACAAACAGTGTTCTCAACCCGAGCTGTAACACTTGCATGAAATTCACAGACTTCAGTCCACACGTGTTATATATATATATATATATATATATATATGTATATGTGTATATGTATATATATATATATATGTATATATATATAGTCCCCTATGAACGAGGGACTTTACACTGTGGGTTCTTACAGACTGATGCTCTCACAGACTACAGTTGTTAGTAAAGATTAAAGATAAAGAAGAAATTCTAAACATAAAATCTTAGAGAGAGAAAAATTTTCTGCATATAAAAATTTCTATACTTGTATTTACATATCTACTTACATTAAAATAAACATACACACAGTAAAATACAAACAACACAAAATGAAATGGCCACCTTTTACCACAGGGTATCAAAGAKTCCACACTGTGCAGACTAAAAGTTGTATGCAGCAATCAAGTACCTTTTTTTGAGTCTTACAGAACACGAAAGCCATCAGCAGAGACAGAACTAAAATCTCCCTTTGCCCTGGTTTTATATTCTTAATTACGGTCTGYTTCTGAAACAGGCAATTTCTCCTTGCTGCTCCAACCTCCCACATGTGTTTCTACTTTCTAGCAATCACACGCCCATGAAATGACTCAGACCAGCTGTGATCAGGGAAAACCACCCCCCACACCAAAATAAATATTCAAGGTGTCTGTCACAGGACTTGCAAGCCCTTCCAGAGCACTGAGCACAGCGGTCACCCGAGCTGCTGAGCCAAAGCAAGAGAAAAGGCAGGAACACGTGGTGGTGGGAATGGAGAGCCCTCCCTGCTGCTGCAGTGGACAGCCAGAGACCACCGAGCATCAACAAAGCARCCTGTAGCTGCATGAAACTCACAGCCTTCAGTCCACACCTCTGCAGACTGAGCTCCTGGTAAACACACGTTTATATTGTGCTTCATTTAGGTCCAAACCAGGGAACTTTGGGAAAGAAAGCACAGTTTCCTTTCTRAAGCCCAGGAGGCAAAACAGATCCACAGCTGCTCTAGATATTTTGACTTTAACTCCAGATTGCAAACACTACAAAAGCTCTCTGAGCAAAAGCTGTGTTCATCAGCACAGTCTTACACATGTGGGCAACAGTTTGCATTGGAATGATGAAGCAATCCATCATCCTTAGGAACTGGTGCAGTGCTCCACAGCTATGAAAACTGTATTCTTTATACTGATAAAATCAACTTCAAAGTGCACTTCTCTAGTAACACATTTGACTTCTGCTGCTCAGAAGTTGCTGTGGTCCTAACATTTCGTTTCCATTCTCTCTTCTTCCCCATTTCTTGAAAAATGCATGCTATGTTTGCGAAATGCCTCTCCTCAATTACTTTCCATGAAAACAAGTTACCTGTACAAAGATAAAGCTGTAAAAAGACCACTTAAGGGCGCTTGTCCCAGGAAAGRCCTGGGTCTTCTCGGTCACAGAAAGCTTTAGAGAAATGCAAACCCAGCAACGGAACAGTGACAAAAGTACAGAATGCAGTGGCAAGGCTGTAATGGGGAGCCACAAAAAAAGACCTGATACAAACAAAGCTGCTACAGCAGTCCAGAAAATATGGGCAGCCCAAAGGAAATCTCACACCATTTGCTGTTGCTATGAAAAGCAATTTCTGCAGCCAACACGTAACGTTAAAGCAGCTCCACAGGGACAAAGACACTGCAAGAATGAAGCAGTGGGAAAGAATTATGGGAGGGTCGAGATCCCAGACAGGGACACTTCCACAGCTTGCTGGATCTCTGTGAGATGGGTTCAGAGACAGAGACCAGAAGTGAAAGGAGGATGCAGAGGGGAGGAAGCAGTGGATGGAAAGAAAGGGGGAAGTTGTTTCTTTTATAYGTTC